CAGGTCCAATATTTGACCTCAGTACTATTCAGTCTGAGTATCAGTATCAGTATTCAGTATCTAAACCTCACTGAAAGTCAGGGGGATTCTGAGCATGGTGATACACAGTATGATATAGAAACTAAAGTGCCAGCTGGCGGGTTAATACATTTTGCCAAACTGATTTAGCACCTACCAGTCTACTAGTGAACTTATTTGAAAGAAACTGCTCGCTCTTAGCTATTGAATCTTCCATCCTAGATCGTATTGGACTGAACTCAACTACTTGTTCTGACAATAAGCTTTCTGGGGAGTAAGGAGTAAGGAACTGTGCCTGAGAGCATGCTCTAGTGGATAAACCTCTATCTGCTGGTCATGAGCTTTGGGCACTGTTTCTGACTATGTGACTTTTAGCATGCTGCTTTCTGGATTCCACCATCATATGTGTCATCTTTTGGGTAGCAAATACAGGTACTATTCCACTTTAGTGGTTGACGACAAGCTCCAATACCAGCTTCAGTCTGTACACACTCTTAAAAAGGTGGTTTTGCACAAGTTGTTGCATGTACCAAGAGAGATGACTTCCACCTGCATGACCCTGAAGGTTGGCCTGTGTTTGCATAATATGTCCCACCAGCCCTTAAGATTTCATAATGTATGCTCTTCTGAGCAAATGAATTAGCTCTGGACTCCTACAAGAGCAGATGGGTTGCAGGCAACCTTTCTTCTTTAAGTGACGATGTGGCATTTAACCACAGGTGTCCTACATCTGACAAGCCTGGTCAGGAACCTGTCAGACTTTAACCTGCATCTTCAGACAATACTGACACAGCTATTCTGAAGAGAAATACAGTGCACTCTCACTATATTAAATTTGTTCAGCTTTAGGCTGTACTGATGGTCAATACATTGTGCCCAGAACAATTTAGTTAGAGAAATCCTATAAAAAGAACTAACAATTTTAGCAACTAATCTTCCTCTGCACTTTTTACACTAGGAAGTTTATGCATAAGTAAAAACCAAAAAAATCCTGATAACCTGGCCATAACTAATTAAATTAAACTTCATATTTTTCATAAGAAGAAAAAAAAAAACAAACAGGTAACAACTACAGTAGTTAGGATAAAAGCTTACTAGATGTGTTTTGACCATGTTGATCCTGACTCAGCAGGTCACTGGACAGAACTGAAGAGATGTTTAAAAACATGGGATTTTCACAACAGAGTAACTGGAGTTTCTCATTCTCAGTGGGAAGGTCTACAGCTTTTATAATCACTGCGTATTCTAATACTGGTTGTCTGAAAATAATTAGGTCCATTAGCCATGTATCAGCATTTGCAGTTCTGATCTCTTGGCGCTTAACTATTCTAAAATCAGTTTTGCTATATCACCATTCAAAAAACCAGAGCTAATGAAGATGCTGGATAAAGAAGCACATTTCATAAATTATACTAACCTCAGGTAATCTGCAACACCTAAATAGACTTATAAAATGTTCTCCTTCTTTGCAACATACCCAGTTTTGGGTATCGATATTTTCACTTAGCTATGATATCACCTTTTACTTAGAATAGCATCTTTTATCCCAAAATGTGGTCATTCCACCTACCTGTAGGATGAAGCCAACTATACACAGTGAAGAAGAGAAACTATACAAAGCCACACAAAACATTATGAGAAGAAACTCAACCACAAGAGCAAGGAAAACAAAAATTTGGAAGAATCACATTATCTAGATTAGTATCTGGATAGTAAATTTGGGTTAGTGTTCTGTTCTCATCCATGGACAGAAAAGGACCCTGCTTTTAAATTTCAGTGAACAGATGGTGAAATCCCACTTCCTGCTACTTTCATGCTGGGAGAGTAACTCAATACTGCATCAGCCAGGAGACCAACACCTACAGAGCTGCAAGAACACACCACATGGAAACTGGCCTCTCCTTGGAGGTCTCCTAACCAGGACCCTTGCTATATTATTTAAAGAATATCACACACTCAAATTTGAGGTGGCTTTGGAAATTTCAGGCAGAAGCTGACGCACTGTGCTTGATTAGACTAACACAAGATAATATGTATATTTTTATGCGTTTATACTTAACTACAATTGCATTTTAGTGTCCTCCATGATAGGGACAGATTATATTTTGTCATTATTACCAGTGTAACCATACAGAGAAAGCCGTAACAAAGTTATGTTGCAGAAGAGATTAGTTAATAACCCACTAAATACTATTAAAAAAAGAAAAAAGGTCATTTCATTCAGGACTAATGTCATCAGTATACAGATCTCCCAGATTTGTGGTGGTTTGCATCAGCTTCAAAACAGCAATACAGAAAAGTGCACCAAAGCAGAAATCAAACCTGGAAAACTAGGCAAACCAAGATCATCTGCTCTGAGAACAGATAAAGCAAACATGTGAACACCAGTAATGTAATGCTGAAAAAAAAGGAGCTTTATACATCTCTGAAAAGAATCAGACACAATGGATTTTGGATACACCACAAAACAGGTATACAGGCTTACAGAGACTACTATGGGTTTTTAAGATCTTACATGTCTTAAGACCGGTCCTGAAAGGCTATGTGCTCTCTTCCATCCAGTAGCTTTAGGAGCTATTCATAGAATAGCACAAACTTACTTCTGTTGCAGTCTTATTGAAATAAAGAACAAATAAACCTGAAAAAAACAATTTCTGGGAGAAAGAATAACTCTGTTTTAAACTGTGCAATTTCTTTTTTCAAAAGGAAACTTTTTGGAAATAAAATATTTAAACAAGAGTGGAAAGAATCCAAACAATAAAGATTGTATTGTCATTGTGCTTCATTTTGTTAAGCAGGTGAAACATCAGACCCCTCCAGTTTTCATCTACTGCATATTTCAGTCGTGGAAAGTGTTACATCAGCATAGTCACCAGGTAAAGCTCCCGGTTTACTCTTAATGGACTTTCTTCAGACACTGGCACAGATGATGAGTGATTGTCCAACTCTGAAGCTATCAGAACTGAACGGATTTAGCAATGTCATAAACACCTCTCGAGGGAGTCACCTGGTGTTGAGAACTCACTTTACATGCCATGTTTCAAAATCAGGTTTAATGGATTTACATTAAATTCAAACCCACTTTAGAGCTATTATTTCTCCCTTTCAACCTTTTCACCCACTACTGCAACGTACTACAGCATATTTTATAATCACATGTTTGCAGGCCTGTGGTAAAGTAAACAAAACTTCAAAGGGTTATTATTTAAAGACTCTGTATTATGGCCATAGGCCTGACTGTTTTTCTTCCTCACCACCCCTTGGGTCCAAAGCACATAATCATCCAGTAATTGAACTGAAATGTCTAAATGGCTAGATCCCCTGAAGGACATAGGTAGTTAGCAGCAAAGAAAGTAAGGGACGTTTTAAAAAACCCTCATGGCATTTTCCTGCACTACTTAGAAACACGGTGTAAATGTAACTGACCCGGACCTGATGGGCTTTTGCAGAGAACACAATAGTGCATAGATATTTCTGGGCTTGTAACTAAAGATTAAATGTCGAACTGTGCTGTATTTGAAAGTGAAGATCTTACATTTAAATTACTTTCAGAAGAATTGAGAAAAAGGAACAGAAATATATATACGTACACAGTAGTATATATAACACAATAGTATCACTAATACCATGTGAAAGCAAACCCCTCTAGGTCCTCATATTTAATAGCCCCTCCAAAAAGTGTAATGGATAGCAGATCCCAGGTTTTCATACACTGTAACTGTCAAAGCACTCAGGAGATAGAGAAGTGAAGGCTCTGACAGCTCTCTTTTACATTCTAAATGGCATCTGCATTCAACAGAACAGAAATAAAGATTAAGGGAAACACCTGATATGATAGCACTCAGCTTACCTCAAAATGCAATATTTAAAAAGTACAGAGAAACACAGGTCTGCCTTCTTGTACTGTAAGTAAAAACTGGTGTCAAAGCCTCAGAGGTCTTCACCACTGCCAGAAAGGCAAGCACCGCAGCATTCAACAGACTGCAGGGGCAGAAGCCACAGCCTCTGACTATGTAAGTGTTGAAATCAAAAGGTGTTTTGTCGGAGAAGGAAGGGAGGAGACGGTCTTTGAACACACACAGAAAATGGCTACGGGTACAGTCATAGAGCATAGGGAAACTGACTTGGTTGAAACCTTTGCAGCCCCTTCTTGTACCTCAGTGAGGAGCAGAATGCCCCTCACTAATTGCCGGTGCCCCACTGGTTCTGTACCTTTCGCAGCGCACACCTACTGCAAATCTCTTCTGAGAGGTTATCACTATTACGGCTTCGAACGAAACACGTCAGCATCCAGATCACGAGAGATGATTTCAAATAGATTTTTGCTGGTTGATTATATAAACGATGCCTCTTACAGCTGGAATAACACCTCAAAGGCAATATAATGACGACATGACAATGTATGTAAATCAAGAACTGCATGTGGGTTTATTTTACACTTGAGAAAACAGTGGATTTAATTGTGTGAACCAAAATGTACTGTACAATATTAATGATAAAACATCAAAATGTATAATTCATAGTGCATTGCTTGCTTTATTTTTATTTATTTATTTTTTTTTGTCAGATAGTTCCTTTACGTACATGCATCTGGAAAGATGCAGGTGCCAGTAAAATTCCTCTATTTATATCAAGCTGCAGGAACTAAATTTTATTCAAAAAGTGTGGTTTTACATTATATACACAGAAATTGAATATAAAATGACAATATAAAAAGTTAAAAGAGAAAGCATACAGCCAGAAGGTACAAAGAAAGTTGAACAGTTTAAAATGGTACGATATGTAACATGTATTTTTTTTAAGCTGATGCTGGCAATTTACAAGGAACAGAATCCAACATTTGCCCCATTTTTTTTGTTTTCATTTACCAATGCAGCACACTATAGAAAGGTCAGCTTGTACCAAAGCTTAACATTTGTAAATAACTATAAACTGCAGTATTTTACAGAAAAAAAAAAAAAAAAAAGGAAAGAAAAGAGCATTTTTACATTTGTTTTAAATAACAGCTTGCATACTTTTTTTTTTTTTTGCCAAAAAGTGGCAATTCTCAGCATCCAGAGGGTTTGGGCATAGTGGCAACTTGGTTTGCTTTTTTTTTTAATTATTATTTAACTTATACAGTTGTGGCTTCCTAACCCCTTGAGTACTACACAGCTCTCCTTCTTCCAAGGACTGCATGCACAATATCTTCACAAACCAGTTCTGCATTAAAAAAAAAAAAAAGAAGCTCATTCATTTAAAAAAAAAAAAAAGTCCTGCTTCCGACACAGCTTTTATTTGAATGAAATGCCTTTAAGCCTTTTGTTTTGGTTTGGTTTGGTTTTCCTTATTTACTTATTTCGTCACTGGGAAAGGCACAGAAATGCTATTACAGTTCTCAGAGGGTTAAAACTTGACACTACCAGGTTCTGTGACCTTTATTGTCATGGCAACTTTGTAATTTTAGGATGTCTCTTTATCATTGTTCTTTGTGTCTTTCTTTACGGCTAAATTAATGTCTCTCAATAGTGTCTCCCACTATATTCTACAAAAGATAGCTTAACATCAAGGACAGATGTAGAAAATAAAGGTCAGACTTTGACTCACAAAAAATAAAAACAGAAACAAAAAATAACCATGCACAGACAAAGAGCATATAAATATAACTACAAAATAAGTGTAAGAAAACCCAAGGTCCAGATAGGCAGTTCAGCAACAAAAGTAAGACTGATTTCAGAGGCTCAGGTCAGGCCTAGTGCAGTACTATGAAGAAGTTTAGTGCAATGTTCCTGTGGTCACTTGCATACCTGGCTGCTTACCTGGACGCTATAGTTTTTCTAACTCAGTTACATAGATCAGATGGTCCTCTGGGGACTTGCCATGTGTTTTACTAAGGTGCAGTTTGACTGCATGCTTGCTTGCAAAAGTTCGGTTACAGAGCTTACATTGGAATGTGGAGCCTAAGTCCTCCTCGGCAATTCCAAGTGAGCCCAAAGTCTTGTTTGCGAGGACTTTTGAAACATTCTGCTGTTCTTGAATCTGATTAAGTGGCAACTTTGACAGATCCTTCAAACTAAACCCTAGATGTGTCTCTAAGTGACTTACGTATGTAGAAGCAGTCCTGAACTGAGAGGCACAATCATTGCAAAAGAAAACAGGGTGTCCTGTGTCCAAGTTCTTTAAAAATTTAGTTCCACCTGTCCTCCTTAACTGATACTTCACATTGGCCAGCCAGTGGCTAATTGTGGTCATGGAAAGACCAGTAAACTTAGAGATGTGTACCCGCTCTTGTGGACCTAGGTCCGACATAATGTATTTGCCTTCTGGGGTCTCCCTCAAGCTGGAAGCAAATTGGGCTTGAAGGATCAGAAGATGCTGAGGGTTCCAGTTGGACTGCCTGCCCTTCCTCTTGTGTACTGGTGACAGTTCATCCAGAGCTTCCTCAAAACTGCTCCCGTCAGCATCAGACTTCTCTGACACAGTAGATGGAGTTGAAGACTTGGGTGTCAAACGCCCCGTGAGGTTCTTCACCATATCGGAAATATCCAGCAGGGCACTCTCCCTAAGCGGGGATGAAGCAGAGTCAGCCACACTGGAAACAAGAGGCTTGTTTTTGGACTTGGTTAAATCAATAGGTTGATCACTGTTCTCATAGTAATACCGGTCAATAGCATCAGCCTGTTTGACTGGTGTGGTCGGGTAAATGGGTTTGTCCAACATGCTGTTGCTAATTTTGTACAGCATGGCCAAAGGGTCCAGAGAGGGGCTTACTGGCTTAGAAATTTTGCCTAAGTGGGTATTCATAATGGACTGTAAAGCACTCAATGGATTAATGAAGGATGGCTCAGGTGAATGATCTGTGATAATTCCTAAATTGTTACAGCCATTTGCAACCTTTGTTTTAAGTGGCTCTGTACCGTTTGGCGTATGTGCTTCTGATGGACTATCCTTTTTGACCTTTTGAACTTCTGACTCAGAGCTCTTCTTCAGCTGCTGTTTGTTATTCATTTCTTCTGCTTTTGGGAAGTCCTTGTTTTCTTTAGCAGCAGGTGACGTAGGTTTGACTGGAGAACTCTTCTCTTTCTCCAAAGGCTTTTCTTCCTTCTTTACATTGATTTTACCTGTAACTTTCTCCACTAGTTCTTCCATAGCAGATACATTGCTCTTGTGAGGTGGGGGTGTGAGATTGCCCGGGGAATGGATGAGTGCGTTGTGTTCTGATGACAGTGATTTTACACTGCTTGCGTAAGATGGCTGCATTTGAACACTCTGCACTGTTGGCTGAAGGGGTTTGACTGTTCCTGGGAGCTGGTAAGCTGCATGAATACTGGGATACCCTCCCCAGGAAGGGGCTCCATTCTGAGCTTTGCTTATAGCTGTTGTCACTGTGTTCTCCAGGGATTTCAGTATGTCTATTCCGCCTTTGGGACTATCATCTAGGTCCTCCTCTCTGAGGTATTGGTACAAAGTTGTTGGCTCAAATTTCTCTGTAGAGTCCTCATTCTCTTCTTTAATCTTTTTTTCTGTTTCAGTGACCACCACCTTTTCCTTCTCTAGGTCTTTCTTTTCCTCCGAGTTTGTGGAGCCCGCTGGGGAATCAGGCTGCTTTTTAATGTTGGAGGCTGGTAGCCTTGTGTGGGTAGTGGGTGGAAGAGGTATAGACTGTATCTTCTCCTCCACCACAGGGTCCAACACTAGCTGTTTGCCTTTTTTGGAAGCAGAATTGGTCACCTTCAGGAAATGACCAGTGACCATCATGTGAGCAGTGAGCTGCTGCAAAGTGTCATGGGAACTGCCACATTCCATGCATTTCAGTATTTGGGCTTTGCGTGCCTCGAACTGCCAAGTGTAGCTAGCACCATTTTGATAGCCATAGCGGTTGTTTGGAGTCACGTAGGGATTGGCAGTTTTCTGATCCTTTGCAGACTCACCCAGTGAAGCTTCTGCAGTGATCCCTGTTGGCTCAGGTGAACAGGGTGAAGCTAAGTCCTGAAGTGCTCGCTTTTTGGTAGAAGGGACCAATTTCGTGATGGCTGGTACTGGCTCCTTCAGAGGCACTTTCTGGTAATGCTTTGTTTTTATCATATGGACACTGAGGTCTTGCAAAGACTCAAACGAATGCCCACAGTACATGCACTTCAGCACTTTCTGGGCATCCTCTTTGCCTTCCATTTCCATAAGTGATCGTTTTCTAGGCTTTGACCACCGTTTAGTCTTATCAGCTTCTTTATCTCTGTTGTCATCGCGGTAATGTCCAGTTTCATTCATGTGCACTGTTAGCTCCACCAGTGTGTCATAGGCTGCACTGCAGTCTTTGCATCGGAACTTGCTAGCACCGGTGAACACAGACCCATAAAGTTTATTGTTTTGCCGGTAAAGCTGTACTGTGCTGAAAAGACTAGGCTCTGGGAGAAGTCCATATGATGAGGTCTGCTGCAAAGTTTTAGCTAATGCAGCTTGGTGCCAGTCATATCCTGAGCCACCACTGTTATTATTACTGTTACTAGTATTACTGGTAGTTGTACTGGTGCTAGTGTTGGTACTGGTAGTACTAGTATTCTGGGAAATGGCATTGGTGTCGGTATTGGTGGTGTTTTCATTCTGGCTGATTCCATTGTTGCTGGTGGTTGGATTGGATTTCTTTAAGTCCAAAGCTAAACTGGACCAGCAAGTCTCTGAAAGCAAATTTGCATACACAGCTTTTATTTGTGCCAAGCTGTCCTGTGGATAGGAAACATTGTCTGTGCACTGAGGATCCTCTTTCTCTTCTTTAGAGGAAGTGCTTTTGAAATGGGCCAGCTGATCGCTGTTTTCACTAAACGGCGAACCATAGCCTGCATCCTGATTAGTTGCAGTGCTGACTGGGGAGTTCTGGTAGCTTTGAGCCTCTTTGATCTCCGCTTCTTCATTGCACAAATACTCATTCTCCTGGATGTCCAGAGACAGCCCATCATCTTCCACGCTGTCTTCATCTATTTCTGCTGCTTTCAATTCCTCCTCAGGAACATATGCTAAAATACAGGAGAGGAGATGGGGGGTGGGGGGGGGGGAAAAGACAAAGTTATCAAACACGCACATTTTACATTGCTGTCTTCTGTACTAAAAGCAGTAAGCATGAAGACAAATTTTGAAGATATATCCAGAAACCAAACTCACCATCACTCACACCCTCCTCCTTTAAATCCACATACTTTGTCATGGTTACAGTTTGATATCACTGATACCAAAGAATAAACTTTGACTTCAGGGGTAAAATATGTGCCAGGACCAGAGCAGATACCATAATATCAAAACCAAAATCAAACAAAGAGCCTACCAAACTAGTTTTTATCAACTTAAAAAATGACCTGATACTGAGCTATATCTACTGTGCTACGTATGTATGTGTAATATGTTGCAGCTGACCTACACCCCTCAGACCAAGGCACTCAGAATCACTGGCTTGACCAACTCCATCTTGTCAGTTCTGTCTTTTCTTGCAAACTGGCTTTAGCTACAGCTTCAGGGGCCATTTCTGTGCCACTGACACCTGACTCTAATGAAGTTATACAGGGCAAATGTGTCAGGTCAGCTGCCTGTACTAGGTCCATCTGAGACCAGTAGCAAATGTTAGAGATTAATTTTTGGAAGCAACAAACAAAAACCTTGAGACCTTGATCGCAGCTTGATTGCTGGCATATGGAAAATATAAAACTTTGCTATTGCATTCCTACCCATGAAACTATATGATCTCACCAAACTATGTGTTTATCTATATCAAACTATTTGTTAAACCAGCAAATGTGATATTCATGAGCAGATGGCCATTACATCGAAACACATTTACTCCAAGGGCCCAGTTCACAGAAGTGGCTTACTAGTACCTAAGTGATAAATGTATATTTCCATTGCAAAGCAGAAAACATAGTTGTACACATTTCCCTCCAGTTCTGTAAAAGAAGCTTAAAGAAATCACAATGCTAATGGAATGTAGATCATTTGTAAGAATGTCAAGGTAGAAAACATGGATTGTGAACAATTTTCAGTAATTGAATAAAAAAGTGCCGCCTTGTCAGGTGAACTCTGCAGCAAGTGATGCTGAAACGTGTCCTGTGTCCTTCCACTGTACAATACTGAAAGAAAGCCAGAAAAGAGGCTCTTCTGCTCTTATGTGATACGAAGAAAATATGTATTATCATGTTAACAAAGCTGAGGTCTTCTTCAATTGGGGGGAGCATAAGTACAAGTTGAACTGCTTTTTGTACACAGTTGCTAATATATTCTGAAATGTCTTTTCTGAAAAATAAAAAGAATCTTCTTCCATTGTAATATGAATCATCTTTTTTTTTTTTTTTTTTTAAGAAAAGTAACAATATTACGGTCAGTACTGCATTATGTATTCACCTTTGTAATTCAGTCCTAAATGCAGCCCCTAATTACTTCAGCCTGATCTTTTAATATGAAGCAGGAAAGTAGTCCATCTAATACTGGGCTTGTGCTGAACCTTAAGATGCCCACTGCATGTTTCATCTGTCCTCTACGCGTCAAATTTTTCATAAGATAATTTGATCTTTTAGTTTTTAAAAAAGTGCTAAGCAGGGCCCAATTCCTTACAGATACATCAGCCTCAGGTGCTTTTAACATGCTTAAAAGGATAGGTGAGTACCAAGCACAATAAAAGTCACCACAGAAATAATCCTGGAGCCAAAGGCCAGAAAGATGCCAGAAAAACATTATAAAACCAGAAAAAAACTATTCTCAAACAGGTGTTTAGTTAAAAAATGAAGAATAAAATACAGAAACAGTCAAAGAATTAAGGCGGCAGTCAGCCTCCCTGTCTCGCAGCAATGCTGCTGTTAAAGCACTCTGCAGATATTTGAGCATGGTAGTGCCGCCGCAGTTTGAACTCTAGGTATGTAAGCAGAATTCAATCCCACAGCTACAGTCTAGGATCTCTTAGCCTTCTCATTCAACACGCCTGTTTGTGGTCATTTCTAAAGGCAAAAGACAATACATTTTGAAGTTTCAGATAAATAAAGAACAGGTAAAGAGGAACATGGTTTCTGATTTTGAAATTACTTTGAAATAGGAAAAAAACCCTCTGAGACCTAAAATGCATAACAACGGGCAGTTACCATCTGGTATTTTTATTTAAAAAACAAAACAAAAACAAAACAAAAACCAAAACCACCCCAAACCAAAAACAAACAAACAAACAAAAAACCCAAAAAAACCACCAAAAAACACCAAAAAACAAACAAACAGACAAAAAAAACCCACACCAAAAAACAAACAAACAAACAAACAAACAAACAAAAAACACCAAAAAAACACACAAAAAAACCCACCCAAACCCAATGGAATAATGATCAGCAGAGTCACCAAGTACAAGCCGAAAACTGAGGGGACATGCATTCTGGGCTTTTATGAACAGCTATCCTCTCACTAACTTCAGCGCAACCACGCCAATTTCCTCTAATTTTCACAACCCAATACTTTTAATAACTATATATAAAAAACTGTTGTAAGATGCTGGATGTTTCTAGAGTTGATACAGCATTTTGTAAGAATCCATGTGAATTAACTGCTTACATCTCTTTACTTAATCCTAAATTGCATAAACATATATTTTTATAATTGCTATATATAACCATTTAAATATCTGCTTAAATAGAAACTGTACATGATCCACTGCTGTATCTTTTATTTTCCTTTATTTATTTATGATGGTGTGTTTTCTCTAGTCTCATATTTTTGCACTTTACCATAAAAAAATAAAAAGGAGCTAAACTACACAAAAAAAACATCAAAACCACATGTAATGTCTGTGTTAAAATGTCAAAGAAAAGAAACTGTTAGGGTGAAATATCCATCTTTACTTACTTTTCCTGCTCTTCGGTTTTGCTGAGACTACTAAACAACTGAGCTCACTCCCTTACCAACATATTCTGCAATATAAGAGCTAAGAATGTACAATTGGTCAGAACTATGATTTTCTACGATTTCGGAATTTAAGCCAGTTTCTAATAAAAACATGAATTTGCATGATGTGCACACCCACATGTCTGTACAGTTATCTGAAATCACACAAAGAAATAATGTTTCTTAGCAAAAAAGAGAGTAATTTATCTGTAATGTTTAATTTCTATCACTGCAATCAAAAAGACTTTAACTCCTTTAGTTATCATAGAATACAAACAATACGTGTTCATTTAAGACTACTAATGCTTATGAGATGAACAGCAGTACACTCAACATATGGTATTTTGCAAGGTCAGTGCAATTCTCTATCTGAAAAGCTTTCTGTAAGAGCTAACACAGAAGCAAACAAAATGAAGAATGTTAATTTCTAAAAACATGTATGTTTTACTAAAATTCTCACAGAAATTTGACAAATAAGTAAACTTCAGAATTTTAAATAGAGCAAAAGTATTCTTATTATAATTACTTGCAGGGACAAGTAATATTATTCTATCTTAAATAAAAGCATGAGACATTCCGATTCTCCCTCTAAACTATAATAGGTAGATCAACAGACAGATTTCAGACAGCATATCTTTCTATGACTGAGCAACTCTCAGCAATCTTCTCCAGATAATCCTGCATCTGCAAAGACTCTGCTGTCTTACACATGTCCCAAAACCACACAAAAATATCAAGAGCAGATATAAGCAGTGATCCTCTTCAACAAAAACTATATCCAAAGCAGAAGAAATTACAGAACATAGCATCAGCTTTTTTCTTCCTTCTCTGTGCACGGACAGACTGAGGCAAATGCAAGGTGGAAAAGGAGGAAAAAGCTTCAAATTCCAGACAACTAAAAATTAGGGGAAGCAGTTTGTATTTCTTTTCTTCTTATTAAGTCTTGCTATTATTTTTTGCCTATTAAATGTGCCTTCTGGATGCCAATGCTTCCCCATAGATATACTGTCATCTTTGAGCAGTGTTAAAAGCTGTGCATTCTAATCTAAGTGGACATGAGATGCTATATATTGTACATGTGAGTAGCACAGCACATTGTGTTTGCTTCAGTGAGAATATTTACACTATAAATACACATCCATTGTTTGAAAAAGCAGACAGAGATCTGAAATGCAAGGATGTGGTTAAAAATATAAATATTCTCACATAAAACCTTTCCACAACCTTGGACCAGTGCTTTTGAAGGAATCTATCTCTACAGAGGTATTGTTTTCCATTCAAAAAGGGATTCAGCACTGAATACATTATTTTGAAAGGGACCAAAAGTAATAACTGTATTTTAACAGTCTATAAAATTAAATGTGGTAAGCTCTTCAAGACCCAATTTTAAATCCTCCAAATACACAAATTTATTCAGAAGAAACACCTTTGTATTGAAGGCCACAGTTCACTAAAGGAATTAAATACTGAAACAAATTTTCACTGAAATAAACATTTCATATTTTCAACAAATAGGGATAGGTTTACGTTTGCAATTCTTCACTAAATCAGGGCCTTCTCTGAGACTAAACAATAGTGGCACAATGTGAGTGTTCACCATTCTTCAACAGATGTATTTCCACAGCTTCGAATATTTACCCAGCCAACAGAAGACAGCAGCTGCAGAAGTTTTCACAGCCCACACTGTCACCTTGTACAAACTGCAATCCAGGCTGGGGGTGATTTCCACTGCACACAAGAACACATTCCATATCTTGGGGGGAAAAAAGTATGGAAAGAAAGACAATCTATAGCCACACATCTCTCTTATCACAGAAAAACAAGAGGGAGATGAAAAAAAATTTAACAGACACATTTCCAGAATACAGAGTCATGAGAGTTTTACAAAAGAATCCAAAATCTCACATTGTGAGAGGTTAACATGCCTGCTGGAAGATTTGGGAATTTTCTGTATTAGTATATACAAATGCTCATACAAAATTCTGGCACAGATGCTACAAATCTGTGTGTGTGTGTCTGTGTCTGTATTACAATGTCACTACAGTGGAAAAATATGGCTTAGTTATGACAATGGCTGAGAAGCAGCACAGACTATCAGACAACCAGATAA